TCTGCAATTTTCGCCCAATCCGACGGCACGAACGACTTTCGAACGACCCGGACTTACAAAAACATTACAGAAACTAAATGCCCAAAACACCGGGCCCTTACATGATCAAATCACGAAGAAACACGCTATCTAAATGCCAAAAACCGGAAATTTTCCAACCCGCAAACCCATATTTCGAAAATATGAAATCACCCACCAAACTCAACGATTTTGATCCCAAAAAATCAGAACTACAACCTGGCTCTGATACCAATTGAAGGGATGTGAATCCCGGAGCGGAAGCGGATTTTCGTTGCTGAATCCATCGTTGGATAGTCTCAGTACTGTACTAACAGTATCTCCAAGTGGGAGATATCTAAATACTACGTGTGTTTTGGACGAACCACAAACCACTCGTGACTCAATTGATCAGTTGTAATGTGATTCAATGGAATCAACACGTGAACAATCAACAGAACCACAAATAAGACGTAGTAATCGTGATAGAATACCGAAACATCGTTTTGACGATGAAATTTATATGATTACACCTGATGATGATGATGAGCCGATAAGTGTTCAGGAAGCTCTTCGATGTCTTAATAGAGAGAAATGGATGAAAGCAATAGAAGAAGAAATGGAGTCAATGAAAGTTAATAATGTTTGGGAGTTAGTCGATCTCCCAAAAGGATGCAAAATTGGTAACAAATGGATTCTTAAGATTGAGCGTAAGGCTGACGGCTCTATTGATAGATATAAAGCCAGACTTGTAGCAAAAGGATTCACACAACAGGAAGGAATAGACTATGATGAGACTTTCTCGCCTGTTGTGAGGTTTACCTCTATCAGACTCATTCTAGCCATAGTAGCCGGTTTAGATTTGGGATTACATCAAATGGATGTAAACAACATTTCTAAATGGTGAATCAGAAGAAAAATTTACATACAGCAGCCCATCAGTTTTGTTACCGAAGGACAAGAAGATAAAGTATGTAAATTAATTAGGTCAATTTATGGCCTTAAACAATCTTCGAGACAGTGGTACATCAGATTTCACCAAGTAATCATCTCATATGATTGATGAGGACCACTGTGTGTATGTCAAAACAAACAAAGATAAGTTTGTGATTCTTTCACTATATGTGGATGACATACTGTTGGCTGGAAAGGATAAGGAGTATGTGTTAGCCATTAAGGAATGATTATCCTCAAACTTTCAAATGAAAGATATGGGTGAAGCAGGTTATATACTTGGAGTTAAGATTGAAAGACATCGCTCCAAAAGGATGTTAGTCTTGTCACAAGGCCAATACATCTAGAAAATTCTTGAAAGATTTAATATGCAAGACTGCAAACTCATTGATACTCCTATCGCAAAAGGCGAAAATTTGAGTCAAAGAATGTGTCCTACGACTCCTGAAGAAATAGAACTCATGAGAAAAGTTCCTTTCCAGAGTGCTATTGGAAGTCTCATGTATGATATGATGTGTACGAGACCAGATATCTGCTTTGCCGTTGGCATGGTAAGCAGATACCAGTCAAACCTTCGCCAACCCCATTGGATGGCTGTTAAGAGAATACTTCGGTATCTCAAAGGCACTATGAATTATTCGCTGTGTTATCAAGGAAACAATTCATAATTAGAAGGCTACTCGGATGCTGATTGGGGAGGAGATATGGATGAAAGAAAATCTACCTCGGGATATGTCTTCTTGCTCAATAGTGGAGCAATATCTTGGAGTAGCAAGAAACAAACTTGTATAGCCTTGTCTACAATGGAAACTGAATTTATGGCAATTTCAGCGGCGGTACAAGAAGCAGTATGGCTTAAGAGATTCTTAAGTCATTTGGGATTTAAAGAAAGTGCGCTTGACTCAATATTGGTAAACTGTGATAGTCAGGCTGCCATAGCTTTCATGAAGTATCCCAAATATCACTCTAAGACAAAACACATAGATATCAAATACAATTTTGTTAGAGATATGATTGCACAAAAGGAAGTAAATGTGCAATATATATCAACGAGCAACATGGTTGCGGACCCCTTTACTAAGCCTATTCCTAGAGATATATTTAATAGCCACATTAAATATTTAGGATTACGAAGGCTTTAAGTTTGTATTTCTGAACAAATTGCATTGTGTATTTTAAACTATGGAATAAAGTTTTATACTTTACTATGCATACACACAAAATGTTTAGTACGTTTAATGAGAAGTATGTCGGACAGTAGATTGGCTCTCTCACACGAACAATCGCTTCTATGAGTTGCGTGTCAGTTAGAAATGAGATAATTTTAAGCATTTTTATTGTTGTAGTAGTACAATAAAATTTGAGAGCAAGTGCTAGCTTAAAATGAGATATCGCCTTGATATGTGATCAAGATGAGATCATATTATGATCGAAGGTGACAAATCTCATTATTCACCTTAAACTGTCTTTGAATTATTATGGTAGAGTTGAGGACTCAAGTTAGATATTGAGTATATCTGAACTATCATCTGTACAGTATTTGGTTGAGACAAACGCTCTAACGGTAAAGAGTAAAATACTGTAACACGTGTTTCATACCACGTGTGCACAATTTTACCATCAAAGGTAGCAGAAGTTAATTGATCTCTTTGTGTGAGACCCATGAGAGTAAGAAATCTCCACAAGTACCCTTATGACCTTTTTGGCTAAAATTTGGAAGTTCTGTTACAATGTTAGCTGGGAGGTTGCCAATGATCATGAATGATTCGATCTAATGGGACCTACCTAGAAAGAATGGAAATCTTTTAGGAAAGGGAAGATAATTTGGAGTGTCACATTATAGTGTATTCACAGGTCGACCAATTATATTTTTGTAATATAATTGTGAACACACACATATATGAAATTAATATTTCAAAAGAGATCCTGAGTTGTGATAAATGTGACTAAATGACTTTAGGGCACTTCATACTGACTCTACTCACTTATTCAAGTTACTTTACATACTTAACAGTTGTAAAGTTACTCGCTCTCGAAATTAAAGTATGACAGTCACACGACCTGTTTTTCTTATATGATTTTTATGCTGGTGAACTAGAATGTGTTTCCTATTTTTGAGACATTAAAAGAGTCCCATAAGAAGATGAAACATAGTTTTTGTGTGGTCCGCCCATAATGAAAATACATTATGTGCGAGTGAGAGATGTAGGATTTATTAAATAAAACAAATTCGAATTTGAATTTGAAATAGGGGAGTGATACCATGCATGAAGTTTTCTCTAGAAAACAAAACAGAGAGAGAGAGTTTCTGTAAAAATCATAGAAAAAGAATCAAGAGTTGGATCGTCTCAAAATTCTTCACCACTCGAAGAATTCAGGCGATGAATCGTGAGATTTTTCCGTTCGTGATTAATCTCCGACCGTGACTTGATTTTCGTGAATTCCACTGCAACGCTACAAGATGTTAGTATCCTATACCCATGAAAAACCCAACAGTTTTTATAAGTTAACCATGATTTCACATGCACATTAATTTCAACTCAAGCTTGTAATAAGCCACACAATCAAATTTCTATACAACAACTCTTAAAAATTGTTCCATTTGCTTTTGTGAAATTAAGACTTGGTTTAAAAATAAACTTTAACATCAAATTTAGTTCAAAAAAATGACTTTCCAAGGCTGAAATCAAGTCAATTGCAAACCATGATGTAGTTGCTTCAATAGTTATTTGATTAACTCCATAAATTTATCGAGATTTTGGTTAATTTCATCAATAATAGATATTTTATTAACTTCATTTATTATTAATATTTGATAACGAGGGATTGTATTGATTCACATTTGGTTAACTAAAATTATGTTGGAGGAAAAATTTGCCCTAAAGTTAGACTTTTAGCCGCAATGAATGTTTTAAGCTTTTAAGCTTCACATTTAATCTTTTAAGCTTCGCGCTCCCAATTTCATCGAATTTCTAAATTTAAATAAGTGATAAAAATAATACTTCATCAAAACAAAGTTAGAAAATCATCTAAAGAACAACCAATAAAACACCTCAAAAAATACTTGCATACTATCAATAAATCAAATAAAAAAAAGTACTCCAACTCAAGTGCCAAAATACTCGAATCTAATTCTCATGTATTTAAAAGGGAAATACGTTTCTTATGTTTTGTTTTTAAAGAAACGCTGAGGTAATAATTGAAATTACAAAGCAGTAAATCTATTTCTTTAAATAATTACAGAAGAGACCCATTTCAAAATGCTACAAAAGAATATAAATTGTAACCCCAGAACAAGACAACCTTCCACGGTTTATGGGGGTGATAAACTCAGACTACAAAAACATTTCTGGTGAAAATTGACCATGGTAAATCTCATGAGCTCTAACTTCTCTAGTTCTCTAAGTATAATACGAAAAACTCTTGATATCTTCCAGATCCGGACCTTAGCATGATACGAAAAACTCTTAATATCCTCCCGATCCAGACCTTAGAGGTGGGGTGCCCAGTATAGGAGAGCAAAACTCCAACTTCAGGTCACAAGTAAATTAGAAAAGTATAGGAAAAAAAAAGTCTAATTCTGCTATTTGAACTGCCACCAAACTTTGACTCTATTGAAGCTGTAACCCCAGAAGAAGAATACCATCCACAGTTAATGGTGGAGGTGATACTCTAACTAGAAAAATTTGAGGCAATAAAAAACTACTTGATATTGAATTTTGAAGAGTTTAAATACCATACCAATTGTAGTTCATGAGCGCTGAGAACTCAACAATTTGAGAGCTAACTCTTCTAGTTCTGCCACTGAGCTTGACTCTGTATTGAAGTTGTTTTCCACTTTATTGTCAACCTCGCCATCACTGTCGGAATAATATTTCTTTGACCTTTTCTGAGGCCTGTCTTCTTCATCCCCAGAAATGTCGTCGTCGTCCTGACTTTCTTTGCGAGCCCTCTTCAATTTCTTCTTCTTCTCCTTGTCCCGCTTCTCTCTAAGACGATTACGCTCCAGAAGTTTGTCTTCCTTGTCAGCTTCCTTTAACTCTTCCCTCCTCTTTTTGTAAAACTCGTCTTTTTTATCTGATACATAAACCAATAATAAATAAAAACGAATACTAATCCTTAAAGCAAGCAGTTCACTCTAATAAATTGGATTCAAGCTACACTTGTTTACTATCTATGTCATGTCTAATCTAATAATCAAAACATTTTTTTAAAATTACGAGTATAGTGTGTCCTAAACTTTATAAAATGTGTAATAAATCTTAACTTTCAATTTTATGTCTAATAGATCCAATTTTAATATTGTCTAATAGGTCCAATTTCAATATTGTCAATATTGTCTAATAACCCTCGACCTCTTCAACATTATTTATAATTCACAAATCTATTAAACACAAAATTAAAAGTTGAGGATTCTACTAGACACAATATTGAAAGTTTAGAATTATATTAGACATAAAATTCAATTTGATTCTAATTGATCCATTAATTTTTTAAAATGTTGAACAGATCAAGGATCGATTAAAAATTAAATTGAAATTGAAAGTTTAGGAACCTGTTGGATAGAAAATTAAATGTTTAGAGATTAATTAAATACTTCCTTTGAAATTAAAGACCTATTAGACACAAACTTGAAAGTTTATAAACTTGTAATTTAACCCCTTTTTTTTCCAAAACAACTAGCTTTCCCAACATTGAAATAAAAAGCAATACAAAAGAAGAAAAGAAAGAATCGGCCATCATGAAAGAAAGGAGCCTAAAAGGAAGAAAAAGAATTAGTAGCAACTAGCAACTACAAAAAAAGAAGGCATAGGGCATTACCGTTATCGACTATAAATGACTCAATGCTAGTTTTGATGTCAGCTAGCCTAGCAAGAGGGGCAAGTGGGTTGCCCTCATCGTCAAAACTAACCCTCGTCCCTACTGGCCTGTGGACATTGATCTTTAGCTTCTTTTTCTTCAAAATCCGAGTACGTGGCCTGAGCAAAGTTTCCAAAACTTCAGATTACAAGAAAGCTAAAGAATAGAATGGTAAATTATAAGATTTAGCCCTGTAATGACATTTCTGACACAACCAACCAAAGATTTCAATCAACACAAACCTCAGTGAAAACAACATTTTCCCACGCAAACTATCCTCTACCAATTAGCAAGATCATGACCTTTTACTCTACTGTATTAGAATAAATTGAAAAATATAAAAAACAAATAACTCACACTGCATCTTCGACTTCACTAGAAGGGGCATCGGCATCAATAGGAGCTGGGGGAAGGAGTCCTTGGTCGCTTTCTTTAAAGTCACCATACTCCAATTCTCCATCTGATGTCTTGAAAGCATTCTCCTTATCAGACGATTCCAACACAAGAAAAGTAGAGTTAGCAGACACCTTCTCTGACTTCCTCCTTTTCTGATCGATGAAACGGATTTTTGGGGTCATTGGTAACCCCAATGAAGCTGAAAATTCGTCAATTGACAGTTTCATAACATCAAATACTTCCTTATTCTTCTGGATATGAATTGACCGTAGATATGTGATAAAGGCCCTTTGAGCAAGTTGCTGAAAATTGGGATACTTGACTAACAAGGCTGCCAGCAAACCAGAAACCGGTTGAAGTCTTTTTGTGTTTGCCTACAAAAGCAAGTAAATATGATGGCACAGTAAGTACGTAGTTAATTTATGATATTACCACCGGTCCCTTCCAACATAAAAAAGGAGCATCATCTGTTATGAAACCTAATTGCAGCTTGCTAGTCCTCCCACACCCTAGATGATCATGGACTTTTTACATAACTAACTTTTTTTGGTGTTCTTTCATAAACACCCCAAAACATGATAACATAACATGATAACATAATTATATCACCCATCATGGATATTAAATATTGAATGTTAGCAAATACTTGTATGCCATAAATGTCCCTTCAACCTTATAAGTAAGGTTACCTATCCAAATTACATGTTCGCCTCATTCTCCAGGGTGTCAAAACTTATCCAAATTTCATACAGGGTCACATTTGGTATAATAAAAAAATTAACACAAGGGTAAAAGTTAAATAAGTTTCCCTTGATATATTCAAAACAAGTCTTTGGTTCATATTCACTGAGCGTCATATTTCTCTTCTCTATATTTGAGACAAGCATTATATAAAAGTTATAAACTACAATCTCTTTGTAAAATAGTAATAAATAAAAACCAACAGAACAGGAAGAAGGAGATGGGAAAGTAAGAATAAAATTTGTACCTTGATAAGCTGAATAGGTACTTTAGCTGATTGTAATTGTTCAAGCATTTTCATCTCCGAGGGCATAAGAAATAAAACTGATCTCCCACCTGAATGGTAGCGGGCAGTGCGACCAACTCTATGTATGTAAGAAGCCACATCTTCTGGGCAATCAACCTTCATAATCAAGAATGCATTTTATTGGCATTAAGCCAATCACCAGTGAAGGGTAAGCATAATCACTTCTTTAAGTAGTTTACCTGTACAACCCAGTCAACTGCCTTGTTAAAATCAAGGCCTCTAGAGGCTACATCTGTTGAGAAGAGGACTGAGCCCTCCTCACGTTGACAGAACTCAGAATATATACCCATCCTTTTGTCCTGCTTCATCCTTCCATGGAGGCACTTCAATGGGATTCCCGGACGCAACTTTTTGAAAGTTTCAAAAACAAATTTCACCTGTTAAACAATGCTGAGAGAAGTCAACTATTGATGCAACATCGGAGAGTGTGTAGAGATATTTATAAAATAATAATAATGAATTCTTGCTCTGTAACTTCATTTTCTGATTACTTGTTGAAGAATAATGATCTTTTCCCACGTATGCATAAAATGAATTTTTTGTATGCATAAAATGAATTTTTTTTTGTAAAATGAAACAATTTCATTGATGTATGAAATTACAAGAGTGGCCCATAGGAGGGATTACAAAAGAGGCCCAAAAGAGGGTTATAGAAAGCTTCTCCAACTGTAAAGTAGAGTTGAAAAGCTATAGGTGTGAAAGAGAGGAGAGCATTTACACCAAGATATAACCAAAAAAACAATGGTGTCAAAAAACCGTTCAAAAGGCTGTTCTTTGTCGTTGAAAATGCACCGGTTGGATATTAAATTTTACATTGTTGCCATTGTTGCCAACTACCCAAATTTTTTGTATCAAATGATTAAAAGCCAACTAGTACATACAAACATTGGATATATATTCATAAACTAACAACAGAGCATGTAAATTTAGAAATATTGGACTTGGGACTGAGGCTAGGCAAGTTGGATATTAATCTAACAGCTATTCTTAAGCAATAATAGGTCTAATATGAAATCTCTTACAATCAAAGTTCAACTTGTAATAAAAAAGCATCATCTGTGGTTACCTGCTTACAACTAGAGAGAAACACAAGAATCTTAGATTTAAGATGCGCCTTTGTGAAGCTCCATAGCATGTCGAGCTTTTGCTCAAGAGGAACAACCATAGCAGTTTGCTGTAAACGATTAGGGGTAGCAGTCACAGATTCCTCGTGTACACTAAGGTACTCTGGATCTTTTAAACTGAGTCTGGCAAGATCCTGAACAGACTTTGTTTGAGTTGCTGAGAACAGAAAGGTTTGTCTATGCTTGGGTAGCTGCGAAATAATAGCATTTAAAGTCCTCTTAAATCCAACATCAAGAATTCGATCTGCTTCATCAAGGACTAAAACCTGTTCGTTGGCCAAGCACCGTCCAATTAGTAGCCAATAATATAAAATCTAAACCACCACAAGTGAACAAAAGGTTATAAGCATGTTCAGCAGGAAACAACACACACACAAAAAGGAAAGTTCGAGCCTGGAAAATCCATAGGAGTACTTTTATTTTCAATTCCATTTCCTAATCTTGTTATCCCCTCCCTCTTTGTGAGAGTGGGAGAGAGAGGGCCCTCATCAGGTATCAACAAATGAAAAGATATTGGCCAATGATTAAAACCAAGAAACATTATATACATAAATAATCAAATCTACTTTTCTGTCTAAAAATGCAAGTAGATAACATGTGATGAAAAGGTTGACAAGAATCATGTTGTGAGTTATCAAAAATTACAGCTTAATCATTTGTTTAAAACAACGAGTATGAACAAATTGCTTCAGAAATTAAATATGATGACCTGAAGCTGTGAACAATCAAAATTTGGAGTCTCATCCATGTGCTGAAGAAGCCGACCGGGAGTGCAAACAAGAATATTCAACTCATTCACATGCTCCTTCTCAGTGTTAACATCTTTACGACCACCAATCAAAAGGCCAGCACTGAAATTATGATATTTCCCAACAACTTTCAATACATCAAACAGCTGAGCTCCTAATTCTCTTGTGGGAGATATTATTATACTCCCTACTCCATCCTCGGGACCCCACCTCTCTCTATACAACTTTTCAAGAACCTGAAAAATGGATTCCCTTGATCAATTTAAAGAGGTAAGAAACACCCTACATTTTATTTTAGTTGTCAAAACTCCATTCACATGGTTTTTATTTTTCTATAACTGGGAGTCAGAGTTTACTCCCAAGTACCTATGCCAGGAGACATCAAAGAATTTTTTATATTAAGATCACCTGAAGGGTCAAACTTAAAACTTCTTTTGTCTCTGTGTTTCCCAAGTACCTGCCCTTGTATATGTGTTTCTATTTTCATCTGTCCCAATGAAAAGTGCAGTTTCCTAAAAGAAAAAAGAAAAAAAAAAACTTAAAACTTCTAAGCCAATATGAGCAAGAGACCCAAACCCTTGTCAAGGGCAGCCATTCACATAGTTTAATTTAATTTGTTGTAGCTTATGACTACATCTGGGGTTTTCTTTAATGGAAAATCAAATTTCATAAGAATTCAAGACCACAGAATACCTATTCAACTTACAGGTATGAGAAAAGCCAAGGTCTTTCCTGATCCAGTTTTGGCTGCACCAAGAATATCTCGGCCACAAAGCGCGTGAGGCAGCGAAGCCCTCTGAATATCGGTCATATCAATGAACTCAGCTTTACGCAACCCATCCTTCATCTTCTTCGAAATAGGCAAATGATCAAACCTTGTTGCTCCCGCGTAACGCGAGTAAGAATCGGCACTGATGCGGCCAACGGGAGCATCTGTGGGCAGCGGAGGGAGCGACATAGGGTTGGAGCCTGAGTCGGGCTTCTGGGATTGAATCCATGAGTTCAAGCGCTGGATTTCTTCAACTTCAGATAAACGCTTCTGCTTGCTAGAGTTCTTGGATTTGAGTTTCTGCTTCATTATGGGAGAGAGAATTGCAAATGTTATGGTTTTAATAGAGAGGGCTGTAGAGGCGGCAGCGACGGGCGCGGCAGCAACGGGTGATGGCAGCGACGGTCGCCGGCCGGCGGCTACGAGGGACAGAGGGGGCAGAAATGGAGAGGACTGAGGAGAAGAGGCAAGGAGGTCTGAAACCTATAACCTAAAACGGATAAAACAAAAATTAATATATTATATATATAATTTCAGTTCGGTAACGATTCGGTTCGAGTTGAATCGAATTTTTATTTATGTAATCTGCGAATCGAACCGAACCGTTCGATTCTCTGTAAATCAAATCCAACCCAAACCGAACCTCTATCTAACCAACCCAATCTTTACAATTTGGTTCGGTTGCTCGGATTCTTCAAGATATCGAATTTTTTTAACATCCCTATTTTAGACTGCTACATATTTAAGATTTTTTTATTATCTCTTTCTTTATTATTAATTCACCCATTAATTTAAATAAGTACAAAATACAAAAAAATTAAAAATTAAAAATCCAACTAATTTAATAAAAATCAAGTTTTTCTTGAATTATATTTGATTATGCACTAAATAATCCTATTGAATAGCTCTGCTGAAACTTACCAATTTCAAAACAAAAAAACAAGATTCAACTCTAGTATTATTTTTTTTTTTTTATCAATTTCATAACACATGTATGTTTTTTAATTTATTTGATAAACACCATTTTTCACAAATTTTCTAATGAAAATTTATTCGAGGATAAAAATTGCAACACTTTTTAAAGTTTAAAGTGATATTATAGGTACAATTTGATAAAATTGAAAATTTACAGTATTGATACACATTATTAGTTCATGGTTAAAATTGATCTTTCCCCATTATGTTTACTAGTTTTTTTTATCACATGGGATGCACGTCATATATATTTTTAGTTTATGTTATTTTATAATTAATTAAATGCTAAAATAAAATTAATTACATTTTTAATAAAATAAATTGTTAAATATAATGTAACACTAATAATATACAGGGTAATTGTAATGGGTAGCAAAAATATTTTATATATTTAAAGAAATATCACTAGTTTTTCAAATTTTCAAATATAGCAAAATATTTGAATTTTTATTTTCGTAATTTTTATTATTCCAATTTTACCCTTATGATATCTAATATACATCCAATCTATAGTTGATATACATCTTATGTATGTCTATATCTGATATACATCCAATCATATCTGATGTACATCTGATGTATCTCTGATATACTTCTGATATATATCTGATGTACTCTTAATATACATCTGATGTACTCCTGATATACATCTGATGTACTCTTGATATACATCTGATGTACTCCTGAATATGGTCAATACTAGGATATTCATTAAAACAGTTTAAACTTGTAATCAAGCTAAACTCCCTCAATCCAAATCTTACAAAGTTCTCATTAGATTGAATATCAATGCTTCTCGTGGGCTCTTTTAAGATATTCGGTGAATTAGATCCACTAATAACTGTAGTGGATATCTCATAATATTAAATGACAGCAAGTGTCCAAATGTGGTCCACTTCTAAAAATTTCTATTTGGGTTGGTGTTAGCATCTTGAGAATGTTATCTATTGATTATAATTTTGAATATTGTTGCACTTTTGCACCGGAATACCATATTTCATTCTCCTGTTAAGGTAAAATCAACATTATATCAGATGTAAACCAAACTTATCACATCAATAGTATATCAAACACTAATTTCAATGGTATATCAAACACTCGTATCAGTAGTATTTTAGACGCTCATATAAATAGTATATCACATGTATATCAGATATACATATTAATAGTATATCACACACTCATATCATGCGTATATGAGACTATGATACCAGCAGTATATTAGACACTTATATAAGTAATATATCTGTAACAACCCGTAATCTTATAAGGTATTTTAGTAGTTTAAATTGCATGACTAAATAGATCACCTTTCCTTTTTTTTTTAAACTTCCTCATTGATAGGATTTTTTTTAGTTAGTCCTCCTTTTGAAAGTAAGCAAAAGAAGCGAGTTCTTATTTTTCATGAAGAGTCATGAAGGAAGTATGAACATTTTGTTTTAGTTAAAGTTGCTAAATTAAAAAAAAAGTTAAAAAAAATTAGAAAATGAAAAGTTTATTAGAAAAAAAGTAAGTAGAAAAGAAAAAATAGTATACCAAAGAACAAGTAACTAACGTGTTAGCGTAGTGGTAAGAGGCTTGCACTCATCATTAACGGTAAGTAAAAGTAAATTTATATATATATATATATATATATATATATATATATATTTGTTCTCTACAAACTAATTTTCAGTTTCAAGGAAAAAGAATATTATTTACTGTGTTTGATTTTTTTTTTAATTGCTTTAGATTGTGTTAAAAACTTTGGTAGATTCAGTCGATAATTAATTTTGGTCTATTAAGGTAAGTGACTCTACTTTCGGAATGGTCTTAGAGCTAGGTTGGAAATTTTACATGATTTTTGATTCGCTATGTGATGTGTTGTTTATGAATTGGCTATTACGTGAATTGTTGTACTGCATTACAGAAATTTTAATTATGGGACCTCATTCATGCATGTGGTCTCATATATATATATATATATATATATATATACATATATATATATATAAAAGTTGTGGCAGCCACCCTACTGTAATGCACAGACTAGACTAAAATTGAGGACTTTGAAATTGAGGACCTAGGTGGGTGAGACTTGGGCGTGCTGACTGGGTGTCAACTACCATCAGTTGGGGTAGAGTCTCCCAAGAAACCCACCTAGTACCATAATGGAATTGGTATCTGAAGGGATGTGAATCCCGGAGCGGAAGCGGACTGTTGTTCGTGATATTTGGGTAACAAAATCAAAATGTACAAGAAGGAAAAACAGGGGAAAATTATACCTTTGAAGAACTTTTCTTCAATGAATTTCCCTCGAACACCACCACTGAATCTTCCTTACTATCCTCTTGGGTTTCGAGATCACGCTTGTGGGAACATTTCCTTGGAACGAGAGGGAGAGTTTGAGAGAGATCAATTGAGAGAGTATAAGAGTTCTTTCTTTTTTTCTGTTCTATAACCTTTGCAGAACTGGAAAAGGAAGAACACCAAAAAAACACTGACGTGGGGAGTTACCCCACGTCACTTAACTGCCCACTTCCTGCAATTTTGCAGGGGGGTTAATTATTAACTTATATATTAATATTATTAATTAATAATAATAATAATTAATATATATATAATTTATTAATTAATTAATAAATCTAATTAATAATTAATCCAATTAATAATTAATTGATATATATATATATATATCAAATAAATAATTAACCCTTAATTATTTATCACATGAATAGAATCATATTCTAAAACATTTCTCTCGTATAACCTATAGTTCTAATGTACATCTTATGCACATTATTTTTAACCTATAGTTTTAATATGAATCTTATTCATATTAATTTTATTTGAATCTCATTCAAATAATTTCTCTCATTATATATAGTTTTAATTTATAATTAACTATATATTATAATGTATCAATATACATATAATCCCTTAAGTAATTTGAACAATTCAAATTCTTCCAAAAACTTGATTCTCGTTTTACCCGTTATGAGCTAGCAAGGGGACCTAATGGACCTACAGATCAGAAGCTCCAACGATGCAAGGTAAATCGGTAAAACTCATTGACCAAGTTAATCAAGATTCGTTAACTACGAGTAATTCCACTAAAGACCCGAAGTTGCACTCTTCTCACTGTAGGATGTTTTCGTGTCCATGGATATACGACCATTAATGATGAGTCAATCCTTCACGAGTGCTCGTAACTCAAGTTGGGTCAAATTACCGCTTTACCCCTGAGTTACATCTTACTCCTTAAATACCACTGCTTCTCTAATGAACAACCCGGTTATGGTCCGACCAATAACCGGAAGTCCCTCTCGGGCCAATGAGAGGGTGGGGCCTCTTGTTCAAGTCCCGGAGTCAGCATYTAAGGGAACACTCATCTACTCCCCTAAAGTCGGAGAGGAGTGAATTCCATCTTGTGAAGTTATGTTCCCAGCTCCCCACTCTGTCTCGTCCCCAAAATGGTAGGAATGTTGAGTCGGTAACTTGGGCCACTCTCACCCATACAGATCAAAGGACGTGTTCTCATAGGCAGAAGTCCATAACTCACTCAGGATTGAGAATGAGTTGCCTGGTCATCCTAAGAAACAACAATCTATTAGTTAACGGTGTTACATCTAAAGATTGGCTATTTCGTGGTTCGGTCTTATACAAACTCATTGTATAAGATACCCCCACTCGCATGTCTCCACACGAACAACTTGGATCGAGTCGTCTATAACCTTTACAGAGTGGGCCGTATCTATAGTGTTGCCAAGATAAGGTACCCAGCCTTATCCATATACTATATACCCTTTAGGTTATTCACGGGACATAATCCACTTGTATATCAGGGGTATATCAAA